CTGCAAGTTGTATCGACTGGTCTCTACTAAGGTAGACTGTGTCATACCTGTCGGATATCACAGAGTCATGTTTCAAAACCTTTTAACGAAGGCTTTGATGGACTTTCTCTTTTTCTTCTTAGTGGCGAGAAGGGTATGGATGGAGACTTCTGTATCCTCTTCAAAGAATCTTGACAGGAAGAGTCTCTCTAAATCTGCCCACTTTTGGATACATCCCGCAGGTAGTTTCATGAACCATTCAAAGCTAACTCCCTTGAGGGTGCCAATAAACAATCGAGCCAGTATGGCATCATTTGATATCACATTCCCAGTTTATGGTTTGAAATGATAGATATGTTGATTCGGTGATCCCGTGCCATCAAAAGTTTGTAGCGTCGGGACTTCAAACTTTGGAGGATAAGAGGCTAAATCCCATTCGGCAAGATAGGGCCTAGAAACTCCCTCATCTTGGAGCTCGCTTCTGTTAGCAATGACATTGATACGAGCTTCTAATTCTTCTATTTTGTCAGATTGAGGATTCTACTCATTCTCGGTCTCTCTTCCTTCATCAGAGGAAGATTCCTGGTTAAGGGCTTCTTGGTCAGAAGTAGCGTCATCAACCATTTTCCCCTTCCCTTTGCTTGTGTGAAGTCGGGATGAAGACGCTTTTTCTCTCCGGAAAGATTCTTGCTTAGGTGGCGAATCTGCCTTCTGAGATTTATCCTTGTCTGTGACGATTTGAGTCAACAGGGCCAGGAATTCATTGAGGGTCTTCTACTGTGATTTGAGCATGGCGTCTTGCTCAGCAACCCTCTTTGAAATATCTTCAGAATGTTCTACCATGTGGGTGAAGCTCTCATGCCCAATGAAAGAGCTTGATGATTAGGACTCCGCAATGGCTGAGTGTTCATCATCAGAATTAGTTCCTCTGGCTAACTTCCGATAGTTGACAGGAGGAATGGCTCACGTCCGAGTCCAAGTGTGTCGGTTGACTTCTTGAAACTCGTTAGTGATTTCTCTGACGATCGGTGAACGACTTGTCTCAGAGTCATCTGGACTAGGACCTGAGGCTTTCCCTCTGTCGATCACATTGATAGTGACTCTAGGATACTCGGTCTCCGGAGACTTATATTTATGCAAACATCATTGTTGGTTAGGCAAGGCAACGTGCGTTAATTGGTCAAACACCAACGGTTTGGCCGCATATGAGCAGCAGTGACATCCCGAGAGGACCGTAGGAATCAGTCGTTTACATTGGAATGAACAAATAACTTGTTGCATCGGTCTTTCTCCTGATTTGAACTAGAACCCCCAGTCTATGATTGGACGGGGCTGGCTCCTGGTGAGCATGGATATGGTTGAGATGCCTTGAATCTAAAGACTTCTTATATCTGCCCCTCGATCTAAGCGCGCTATGCAGAGTATTCGGTGGTCTCGCATCAGGTTCTATATTGGATTTAGTTACTCGAACGCATGCCTGAGGTTCAGGTTTTGCTGGTGAAACGCAGCCCTGAGATCTACATTTTGCTAGTGGAACATAGTGTTGAAATATGTTTTTTGGTTCTGAAACACATGCCTGAGAGTTGCGTTCAGTTAATGGAACGCACTTTTGAAGGCTGCGTTTTGATTGTACAATGCGCCACTGAGGGCTGCGTTCAGTCTTATTCACATAGAGCCTATGTTTAGGCTCATGGATGCGAGGCTTGCATTCTGAAGCAGAAACGCAAGCACAGGGTCGCGTTTAGGCTCACAAACACGAAGCTCGTGTTGACTTGAGGATCGGCATTCTCGGAGATGTGTTCGTCGTAAGGATCTCCTCCTCCGTCAAGCGACGTTCTTCTTAGCCTGTTTTAAAGCTTTTGCAGCGTCATTACCATCTGTGTTGATCAAGTTTGTTGCCTCAATGGGCCTCTTGCGACCCGATACCCATTGTCTTGACGCGGGTTTGGCTGAAGCTGATCCCAATCCATCGGGGGAAGGGCTGTCCGAGCAATCTGGCCCAAAGGAGAGGTCTTCCTTCGGCGATTCGGCTGTAATTGGAGCAGTTGGAGCTTTAGTCTGTTTGGAGACTTTGTGGATCTGGTGCATAGCCTTGGGGCTAAGGGATCTAAAGGAAAGAACTTCCTCATACTTGGCTTGATCAAACTCAATAATAAGAGTTTTGACGGTTGTTCCAGTGAGATTGACGTCGGATTGCGCCACCACTTCGTCATCAGAGAAGCTTGTCCCCAGCAGAGTCGCCATATTTTGTTTGTGGAAAATTTGTAGTAAATAAAATGAAAGAAATTTGATTTGTATTCTCTCGATCTTAATTACAATTTGAATTCCAATTACAAAAGAGAGGAGAATTGATCTAAATTCTCTCATTTGTTTAAGTCTGGGTTCTTCATGGTAGCGATGAGATGCCTCCCTCAAATGCTCGCGTCGAGTTTGCTTCTTGTTGATGATCCGAACGTCTTGTTTCACCGGAACGGTATCTTCTCCTCACGATTTGACGCTATGGAGGACTTACGTGGCAAGTTTGAAACTCTGAATGAGTTGATAACTCAGAGCGAGTTTAAACTCTTGTAAAAGAGTTGATTGATCTTAACCGTAATTGGTTTGACAAGCCAAGCACGAAGATAGCTCCAAGAATCTATTACCGAGAAGATGATCTGAAGAAGTCGATCTCTAGATCTCCAAAATTCTTAAAGATCCAAAGATATCTCCCCCCCCAACTCTCTGAACTAAGCTGATCTTTCAGCTATTTATAGGCGATTAGGGGGTGTAACCGCCCCTAAAATCGCTCCTTTGTGGGGCTAATGGGATGTAACCGCCCCTTAAATCACTCATGAGTGCAGTTGTGATCCCCTCAGATTATGAAAAATGGTTTTGAAACCGTTTAGCTCGTGTTTGAATGAGTCAAACGCAAAATCCGCGTTCTGGCGTGAATTCTGCGTCCAAACGCAGCGTCTGGAAGCTCGTTTGCAGCGTCTGGAAGCTACGTTTGTAGCATTTGGAAGCTACGTTTGCAGCAATTTGGAAGCTGTGTTGGCAGCTTGGAAGCTGCGTTTGGCAACTTTCGGAGGCTAAATTTGTGGCCGAACATGAGCTACGTCCGCATGCGCAACCAACAGATGAAACTCCTCAATGTAGACCTCCATGAATATACTCTACAACTGTTGCAACGGTTGGAAAGTGCTTTGACTATAGTTGAAGGGTAGAAACTCCTGCTTTAACATTTCCTTTATCTTCTCCAATCATTAATCTTGGATTCATCATATTTCTCCAAAACATGGCACACATTCTCACCATGCAGAAGAACAGGCCTTGAATTTGATCGTATCCAATTTAACATTCTTCTTAGAAGGAACATCTTTACACTCAAAGATGCACTACAATGTGGGCAGTCAATCAATAAACTCCTCGAGCTAGGAACCTTCCAAAAAATCTAAGAGATCAACCTTGATGTACTCCCAAGATCGATCATAGCCTTTCTAAAAGCTACAATCTCTTGAATACTCCGACACGAGATCAGAATCACATTCACAAGCTAAGTCAGTAGCCCAATGCCTTTATGAATGTGTTGTGTGATTCTTCGACTCTTCCATCTGTCTCTGCAATTCATGGTTTAGCCTCCACAGTTCATTGACCATGATGTCCTGTAAGTCTTGTTCATGGTGAAAGTCGCCCCCATCTTCGGAGGCTACCTCCCTCTGGCATCCACCATGACCGCATGTCTTCCCCATGCTCAACCATTCTAATGCTTAGATGAGTGCTAGATAGAACTAGTGCTCTAATACTAATTGATGTAGTCTACGATTGCAACCTAATCAAAATGGCAAAAAGTAAAGAGAACACTAAATAGAAATAGCTCTAGCTACATGTGCGGAACCGTATATGTATTTGATTATCCGTTAGGATATAGATATAGTTAATCAAATCTATACGCAATAGGATATTGTTATGCATGTGGTTTTGTAGTAGAATATCTGAATCCGTATCCAAAATATGTGAATACATATTGGTCATACTGTTATAATAGTTTTAGTCCTTAGATTATGAAATTAAAATTAATATTGATGATCAAGATGTCTAATCGTAGCTTTTCAGATATAATGAACATATTAATGAACTCTTTTTGTATAACATAAACTATATTTTTTTCAATATCATCTAATTTTCTCATATATGTCTTTTATCCGCATGCATATTCACTTATATATCTACATGTATATCCATATTCGTATCCAATTATAGCAAATATGGATATTAATTTTCCTTACCAAGGCATATGTGTAACCATATCTGTATTCGTGACGTATCCAGACCGTATGTACCCCTAGATCTAGCAAATAACTAGGATTTTATTCATCAAAAGCTATCTGCTTACACTAAGAAAAGAGTCTTTTATAGACTTGAATATAAATGAAATAAGTAAAAATAATATTTTTAACCAAAAATTAGTAAAATTCTAAAAACTAGAAAATATTCTTCTACTAGCAATCAGGAATCTCCACAACAAACTTCAGCAAAAACAGACTCCATTTGCCCTTCTAAATTTGAGGGTCAAAACCTACCTACACTAGTACAAAGAAGGCCTTCCCCAACGGTTGTAACCGTTGGGGTAGATAGTATACCCCAACAGTTAGGCCCGTTGGGGCAGAAAAAACACTCGTTGCTGCAAGTAGCGTTGGGGCTGAAACGGCCCCAACGAGTGTAAAATCTGCACCAACGGTTCCACCCGTTGGTGCAAGTAAAAATATAATTAAATATATAAAAAATAAAATAAATAATAAAAAAATAGCACCAACGCAACCGTTGGTGCAGATGTTTGCACCAACGGTTGTAACGTTGGTGCAGATTGTCGTACATTGACAGTTTCAAAACTTGCACCAACGATCTCAACTGTTGGTGCTTGTGTTTTTCCTTTTTTTCACTTTTACCTACATCATTTACATATAACATTTCCCACAAAAATATATAATATACATGTTCACAACATATACATTCCCACACATAAAACAAAAGATTAACTAGAATCAAAATACAACAAGTTATAAATTACTCAAGTACCAAATATATAACAAGAATCAAAATACAATAAGAGGATATCTGAACTATACAAATGTCTTAAGTATGTTAATTAAAAGTACAAGTCACGCTGATTTAATCGAATATAATCAGCAAAAGCTTTGTGGATGTCCTCCTCGTTATTGCCCTACTGTGTAAAGCTCCCTAAGACGCCCCCCAGCATGCTCCCCAGCACGCCTCCTAATCGACTAGCAAGAGGGCTTTGTGTCCAAATATTCTAAGGAGAACATTAAGCAGCAGACGTAGAACCCTGAGCATCCGGAGAATAATGAGCTAAAGTCGGTGGAGTACTAGCAAGAACAACAAGTGGTGGACAAGTGGTCTGAGAATCAATCTGTAAAATAATGCATGTAATAAATCAAATTCACACTAAGTATATCCAAACATGAAAACTTAAGCTTAATAAACAAGTCTTTTGTTGTAAGAATAATTTATGACATGCATTTGTAGTGTTGAACCCTTTATGACATGAATGCGGCTAACTAAGTATGAATAATTCATTCCAGAGTTGTAAGTAAGCAATCAATAAGAAAATGTTCAAATAGACTGTGTATTCATTCATGACAATAGATGCAAAAATACAATACAGTATCACTTGGCATAATTATGTGTATTAAAAGACGATTCAAGCTTCTATTCACTCAGTTATATACAATAACTCAATTCCAGATAAGTACAACGAGGGGATAATTGTAATTCGAGTTTTGTTTATGTTATTTGTAATTGAGATAATGATGTTCAGCTATTTCATTCATTCACTCACTACAAAGTAACGATATATCTACTATATGCATTTATTCTTAGATAAGCCCCTCAATAACACTACTACGCATGAATCTGTATATATTGATAGGAAAGAGACATACTTTATAAAAATTAAGGTTCTAAGGGAATGAGATAATATTGAGGTTTTTTTTTGCATACGTACTAGTTGGGTAAGTTGTTCCATATTGAGGTTGTAAGGGTAAATCGTTTGAATTCGTCGAAAAATAAACACTTACGCAATACTCTTGAGTTTGGGTGTCAGGATATATACACAAGTATGTGTCACCATTTGGATCCAGTAATGTCACGTGGGTACCCAAATACTCCTTCAAGGCACTTGAGGAGCCACCTAATTCTTCGATCACTACAAATCACTCATTTCAATTACAGAGCAGAATACAACTAGATCACCATGAAATGTCCGTTTTGATATTCATAAAAAATTAAATATAAAAAACATGCAACTTAATAGGAACGAAACATACCTGGGATTAGGATTTCCTTTGACAAATTTTTATCCATACTTGCGCCACCTGTAGCCATCACTTATACGTGTTGCATCACATGAACTCTGCACAACAATCTTGGGTTCCTTAATCGTTCTAAGGACCGGTGCTGAGCAAGGCATATACCTTTGTGTCTCGATGAGCCTGTATCATAGACAATAAGTACTCAATACACATGAACATATGAAACTATATACAACAATATTTATTACAACACTAGCCTTCTTTTTGCATCTGGTTCATCAGCATGCTCCTCGTCCATCTTAATTGCAGCATCCCCTTCACAATCACTAGAGCAGAACAAGTGTCGTTCCGTGGTTTCATTGCTAGAATTTTTTTTCCATCTTTGATGTTGAAGGATCTGGTCCTTTAACTTCGCTACACGGAAGATCTGCGGATTTATGCTCCACAGAAGACACACCAGACTGAACCCCTTTCTCTTTGAAGGACTTAGTCGTCTTTTGAGGTGGGTAATGATTGTGCTGACCACTATAAATTATTTCAATCTCTCGACCATCTGGGCAACGCTCGACCTTCTTCTTAGCAAAACAGGTCACATTGGTACATTTATAGTAGCTTCGTGATCTATCACTATGAACCTGCTTCTGACCATACTTTCACCAGTTATATCCATCACTAGAGCTCGTCTTCACAACAATTTGAGTGGACTGAGCCTCAGATTTATGGTCAGATGGAGGAGGTTGCATTGGCTCTGGGGTAGAGATGTTGTCTTCAGATACTGGTGAAGGCCTTTGTTGTAGTGGCGCTAGGTTGATGGATGCAGGTTCTGGTGAAGGACCGAGCAATGCTTCTGATGAGGAAGGACGTGCTGCTTGAAGTTGCATCTGTTCCTGAGCTGTAACTGTGGCCAAAAGTGCTTTATGGGTCATTGTAAACTGACCCTGAACGAAAGAACGTTCACATGTAACAACAATAAGCATCAAAATTTACAAGTACCTTATATTATGATAGTTATGCAATGAGGTAAAAGCTAATGGTATTTTCATCTGAGAAGCCGTCCAAGCTAACTCATGTAGTTAACGTGTAAAAATTAAAAGACGAAGAAAGTAGATATAACAATAATAGTAGACACCT